ACTTTAGAAGGATTATGTCAATGAGAAATATATTTTTCATAAATTTTCACTATAGGTCACCGAACAAATGAAATCGATAGCTATACTATATATCACGAAAATATCTGCATACATTATGGTCAACTATTATTTTAGGTTAATTTAATGGTATTTTCCATTCTGGGCCAATATCTCCCTTAAAACTTAATTTTGGGATGATGAAGTGAATGACAAAAATAATCTCCATAAAATTTCACTATAAGTCTCCTCAGAGAAGAAATCGCTAGCTCCCCCATATAATCGGAAAAAATATAATTTAATTCATACCGTTCAAATGCTACCATGTTGCGTATAAGTATTGTCGTTAATAATACGCCACCCAAAATGTTTTGATATTCTGCCACAAACCTTTATTGCGGAAGGCTGGTATAAATGAGGTCTGAACTAAAACAAAAATTGAAAAAAAATACAAAAACTCGAAAATTTTTATATTAAGACCTTAAAAACACATGTTGTCTTTGCCACCAATCACAAGAACAACAAGTATTAACCCCTAAAAGAAACTGTTCCATTCCTTGTCGTTATTTTAATGGTTAAATGAGTATGTGAGTGTCGGTGTGGGAGTGTGTGTGTGTGAGTGGGGATGGCGTGCATGTGCCGATGACTTTAACAGCGGAAACGGAAGTCAATTTACATTAAAGACTGGCAATATAAGCTTAATTACTTTTGGAAGCATTTTCAAACCAACCAGCCGCCGAAGCAGTTCGCCAAGCAAGCCAGTCCGTATTTCTCTCAATTGAACAAATGAGGCATTTTTCCAGCAATTACTTTTTAACAACAACAACAAAAGCAACAAAATAAATGTCTTGTGATTTCTTAATGAACTGCTCCTGACGTTCTGCCGATGCTCCTGCTCTGGGTTAGAATGGGGGCCATCGCAGACAGCATTGAGGATTAATTTGAATTTTATTTCACTTTTTTGTTTTTGGAATAATTCAAACTGGCTTCAAATACAAAACAACGACACGTTTTAATTATTGCCAGAAATAAATTTAATATAAACTGATTGGATGGATAGAGGAAAAAATTGATTATAAGACCCATACCTTATAATAAATAAGACATAGGTATATATTTTTCTTTAATTTTAATCATTTTCCCTTGAAATCCCCTTTAAAATCTATGAAAATGCGGAAAAAATTTTGGCGCCTAAAAGTAGGCAATGAATTTTTTAATTAATTAAAAATTGGTGCATACCTTAAGGCGTTAATTACCAAACTGCCTCTAAAATGTTGAAAAATTATCTAAATTTTATTTTCTAGTCGACCACATTAATTTTCCCCCACAAATAATAATGATTTTATCATGTACTAAAAATGTACTAAATTTTTTTAGTACCATGTAAAGACATCCCAAAAGGCTAAAATAGATATTCCATGTGATTTTAAGCACATTACGAAATGACGAAATTAAGAAAATAATTAAATTTAGCACCTTTTAATTAAGTACTAAAAGTGTACTAAATTTTTAGTACCACATAAATCCATCAAAAAGGTTTGAAAAAACTGGCGAATAATTCTTACCCATTTCAATAACAATCTTAGAAAATTAGGAAAAATTTATATTTGGCTCCTAAAAGTATGCAATGGATTTTGTAATTAATCAAAAACATGTTGCATACCTTGTAATTAAACAAAAACATGTTGCATACCAAATGTGTCTATAAAATATTGAAAAATTATCTACATTTTATTTTCTAGACGACCACATTAATTTCCCCTCACAAATAATAATGGTTTTATGATGTACTAAAAATGTACTAAATTTTTTTAGTACCATGTAAAGACATCACAAAAGGCTAAAATATACATTTATGTTGATTTTATGGACAATATAGAGTACATACTAATGAAAATATAAATTTTAGTCCATTTTAATTATGTACTAAAAGTGTACTAAATTTTTAGTACTCCTTAAAATGTGTCCCTAAATGCTTTTATATACATTTTACATTGATAAAAATGATACTAAGATTTTTATGTTATATGAACTAAAAATAGAATTTGACGTTCTTAATAATGTACTAAAATGTGTACTAAATTTTTAGTACCATTCAAAACACCCATAAATGTCAATTATATACATTTTACATTGATGTTAGTATCATTTTTATGTTATAATAAATTTAAAATACAAATTTGAAGATTTTAATTGTGTACTAAAAAGTGTACTAAATTTTTAGTACCATTAAAAACGCCCTTAAGTGTCTTCTCTATACATTTTACATTGATGTCAGTACCATATTTATGTTAAAATAAACTAAAAATAGAAATTCCAATCCCTTAATTATGTACTAAAAGTGTACTAAATTTTTAGTACAATTCAAAGCACCCATAATTTTCTTTTATACACATTGTACATTGCAGTTAGCATAATTTTAATGGTATAGAGTAGTACAAATTGAAATTTGACATTCTTAGCTATGTACTAAAAAGTGTACTAAATTTTCAGTACCATTCAAAACCGCCATAAATATCAATTATATACATTTTACATTCACGTTAGTATCATTTTTATATTAAAATAAATTAAAAATAGAAATTTCAATCCCTTGATTATGTACTAAAAAGTGTACTAAATTTTTATTACCTTGTAAATACATTATAAAAGCTTAAATAAAGCGTTTTGCTGATTCTAGCATCGTTTTAATGCAATATTATTCAAAGAAATGTAAATATGGTACATTTTATGCATGTTCTAAAATTGTACTAAATTTTTAGTACTTCAAAAATCGCAAATAAAAACCGGAATACCAATTTTATTGAATTTTTCACAGATTCTAGTATAATTTTTATGTAAAAAATGCAAATTTCAGACATTTTAATTATGTTCTAAAAGTGTACTAAATTTTTAGTACATCATAAATGCTCATAAAAGCTTAAATAAACTCTTTAGCTCATTCTAGCATCATTTTAATGCAATAATATTTTAAGAAATGTAAATTTTAGTGCATTTTAATTATGTTCTAAAATTGTACTAAATTTTTAGTACTTCCAAAAATCCCCAATAAATACATAAATACTCATTTTTTTATTTTTTCACACATTCTAGTATAATTTTTATGTAAAAAATGCCTATTTAATACATTTGAATTATGTTCTAAAAATTTGCTAAATTTTTAGTACATCATAAATGCTCTATAAAAGCTTAAATAAACTCTATAACTCATTCTAGCATCATTTTAATGCAATAATTTTCAAAGAAATTTAAATTAATTACTTTTTTAATTATGTTCTAAAATTGTACTAAATTTTTAGTACTTCAAAAATCCACCATAAAACCCTAAATATTAATTTTATTTGATTTTAATCAGATTCCAGTATCATTTTAATGTAAAAAATGCAAATTTAATATATTTCAATTATGTTCTAAAAGTGTACTAAATTTTTAGTACCCCACAAAATTCATCATAAAACCTAAAATATTCGTTTTATCTGATTTTAATCATATTCCAGTATCATTTATATGTAACAAGTTACGCCAAAAATAAAATTTAGTACCTTTTAAGTATGTACTAAATTTTTAGTACCATCTAAAATCGTTGAAAATATTTGAAAACTTATTTTATTCTACTATTTATTACTACATTCAACACAATTATACCTTCAAAATGAAAACTGCACAAGCTTTATTATGTACTAAATGTGTACTAAAATTTTAGTACTACACATTTTTTAGTAATTGTTATAAATAATTGCATAATTTACATTAACAACACTAAACATTAGCCAATATATAACTTATTTGATTTAAAAATCAATTTTAGTACAATTTTTTATGATGTACTAAAAGTGTACTAAATTCCAAAATTGTCTATTTTTGTCATATTTTCAAATTTTTCACTAGGGATCATTATTTTGTAATGCCTTTGTTGATTAAATTCTTTAAAAGGGAATATTTTTTAGTACTAGAAGCGTACTAAAAATTTTTTTAGTACCAAAAAGTGTTCTAAAAAATTAAAAAAAAAATTCACTGGAAATGATTTATAATGTCCATAATATAATTTATTTGCTTAAAAAAAATCAATATTAGTACCTATTTTTACGATGTACTAAAAGTGTTCTAAATTTCAGAATTGTCTATTTTTGAAATATTTTCAATTTTTTTAACTAAGGGGAAATATTTTGTAAGACATTTTAGACTAAATTCTTAAAAATATATATATATATATATATATATTTTTAGTACTAAAAATGTACTAAAAAAATCTAAAACTAAAAAATTGTATATTTTTTAGTACAAAAAAAATTGAATTAAAAAGTGTAAAAAAATTGCATATTTTTGGTACTAAAAAATGCATTTTTTTACAAAAATTTAAATTTTTAGTACTAAAAATATTTCATATTTTTTAGTACTAAAAAATTTCATATTATTTTGTACTAAAATATTTCATATTTTTTAGTACTAAAAAAATTGCATATTTTTTAGTACTAAAAAAATTGCATATATTTTAGTACTAAAAAAATTGCATATTTTTTAGTACTAAAAAAATTGCATATTGTTTAGTACTAAAATATTGTATATTTTTAGTACAGAAAAAACTGCATATTTTTAGTACCAAAAAATTGAATTATTTAGTACGAAAAAAATTCCCAATATCCTATATTGCTGTACTAAATTTTTAGTACACCCCTGTATAATGTCCAAAAAAATATACCTCTAGTCCCTCTCGACAACATTGATGGGTACATTTATGGGTTTCCTGAAATTAACAGCCTGTTTTTGTAAAATTCTAAACGAATGAATTCGAGTGACTTACGACCAAACCTTTGTTTATGTAAACAAATATTTTTTGATTCAAAATAAAAATAAATGACATATTTTTCAAAACCAAGGAGTTTGGTCGTAAGTCACTCGAATTCGTTCGTTTAGAATTTTACAAAAACAGGCTGTAAATCAATTAGCCTAAAAGTATGCTTTAATTTTTGTTTCATATTTCCATTTCTCTCTCCCTCTCTCAGATGAATTCTGCGAAGAATATCCTCACAATTTAATGCCAACACCTGGCTATTGGATTGAATGTTCCCGCCAAAAAATCTCCATGCCCACCAATCACACGATATGGGATGAAAGTGATTCGGAACATGAGGATGTGCGCGGGGGTAATACCAGTGATGCCTATTTGGAGCGGGAGTGTAGTGACCTATATGAGGATGATGAGGATTCGGAGGCGACACCAAGGTATTGGAAAAACATTTTAATTTTTTTTTTAATTTGGATTTTTTTTTGTGGTCCCATCATGTCCATTCATGATTGAGAAAAAAATATAGTTAAAATCCAGCCCATCCACCACTCATAACCTCCATTAATTTTCATTCATCCACCATCATCTCCATCTTGCTTGCTCCGGACCCTTTCCTACCCCTGTCCTGCTTGTCTGCCATCTGCCCTGCCCATCTTCTTCTTTTTTTGATTTGCCCTGTCCATGGCATTTTGATGCGAATATTTAAGTCCTAGGAAAAAGACAACCATCGAGGAACAATGGGAACAAAATGGGGCCTTCGAACTGATCTCCGTGGAACAGGAGACCTATGAGAAGTATTTCTTTGGCCATGAACATTGGAATTATTTCACTAGCGATGAGGATTTGGGACCGGTGATTTTGTCCATAAAACAAGAGACCCTCAATGGAAGGGATCAATTCCGCATTCTCGTTCGGGCTGGCTCATATACGGTACATGGTCTGATACCTGCCTCATGTGTCTTTGCGGATAGGTGAGTTGGGATACCTTTGAAGGCATTTCGGAATCTCTAGAATTTATTTTCGATTTCCAGATATAACCGCGAAGAAGTGGTGAGATCTCTGGGCAAAGAAGTGAATCTAAATCCTCCCCTGACACTTGGCCAGCTGCCGGACACTCCCGAGGAATTACTGAAACTGGATCAGGTGGGATGGATAACCCAGTGAACTTTTTGGGGGGAATTTTTCAAAATTTCAGATTTTCTTTTCAGGTCTTTATAAAATCGGAGCTAAAGGTCGGTGTGATCTATGTCAAGGAGGACCAGTACACGGAGGAACAAATTCTAGACAATAATGAAAATTCCCTGCTATTCGATGAATTCCTGACCCTGCTAGGTGATCGTGTGCGCCTAAAGGGGTTCGACAAATATAAAGGTGGCCTTGATACAGTACATGATTTAACAGGTATGGGCGGAGGTCCTTCTCTCAAAAAATCTCTCTTCACTCACTCCCTCTCTCTTCTCCCTCCCTCCCTCTCTTAGGACTGTATTCTGTATATACAAATTGGCGTAACATTGAGATCATGTTCCATGTCTCCACCCTGCTGCCTTATGAGAAACACGATCCTCAAAAACTGCAACGGAAGCGGCACATCGGCAACGACATTGTCTGTGTGGTGTTTTTGGAGGCAGACAATACCCGCTTTAGTCCGGCCTGTATAAAAAGTCATTTTTTGCATACGTTTATATTGGTGAGTAGCCCACTCTGTCTCCCTCTCTCTCTTTCACTCTCAAATCTCCTCCTCTCTTTTTGTTCGCGACAGGTACGAGTCTCAGCCAGAATAAAACACAAACCCACACGGTATGAGGTGTCGGTGGTGACGCGTGACGAAGTTGGTGCCTATAAGCCATATTTGTGGGAACAATCGGTATTCGAAAAGGGGCCAATGTGCAGGTATGATCATGATCTATATTTTTTAAATGTACTAAAATTAAAAAAAATTATGGAATTGTTGAAAAAAATTATTTCGAAATATTTTTTAGTACTAAAAATGATTTCTCAAGAATTCTGGTACAAATTTTTGCATGTACTAAATTTGTACTAAAAATGTACTAAAACCATTTTAGGGCAGTTTTTGGCCTAAATTAACATAATAAAACCACTTTCAGTACTAAAAATAATTTTGTACGAAGTTTGGTAGCAATTTTGGTGTGTACTAAATTTGTACTAAAAGCATTTATGATGATTTTAAGTCATTACTAACATAATAAAATCATTTTTAGTACTAAACATGATTTTTTACGGATTTTAGTACCATTTTTTGGTGTGTACTAAATTTGTACTAAAATGTACTAAAAGCATTTATGGTGATTTTTGGTCATTACTAACATAACAAAACCATTTTTAGTACTAAAAAATATTTTTTACGAATTTTAGTAACATTTTTGGTGTGTACTAAAAATGTACTAAAATCATTTACGTCTATTTTTGGCGCATACTAGTCACTCCGAACATAAAAAATATGATTTTAATACTAAAAATGTATTTTCTGCGAATTTTAGTACAATTTTTGGTGTGTACTAAATTTGTTCTAAAATCATCTTTTTGTTAATTTTAAATGCACTAATCGCATTTAAGTCTATTTTTGGGGCTATTTTGGTGACTAGTATCACTCCGAACATAAAATATAAGATTTTAGTTCTAAACATTATTTTCTACGAATTTTAGTACCAATTTTGGCGTGTACTAAAAACGGTTTTAGGGCAGTTTTTTGGCCTAACAAATATAATAAAACTATTTTTTAGTACTAAAAATTACTTTCTACGATTTTTACTGCCAATTTTGGCATGTACTAAAAATGTACTAAAAACTTTTTGGGCTATTTTTAGTCATTATTAACATAATAAAACCTTTTCTATAGATAAAAATTGGTTTTTATAAATTTTTAGAACAATTTTTGCGATGTACTAAAGTTAGTACCAAAAAGTACTAAATTATATTATAGGAAATTTTAGACCCAAATGTGAAGAAAATTAAGAAAAATACATTTATAACATTTTTTGTTGCCCTTGAGATTTTTTTTATGAATTTTTGTAAAATTTTCACGATGTACTAAATTTGTACTAAATCGTTTTTGAAGACATTTTAGAACCATATATGAAGGAAATTAAGAAAATAAAAATTAAAAGCATGTTTATATACCCAAGGTAATTTTTTTTTATAATTTTTAGTACACTTTTCTCGATGTACTAAATTTGTACTAAATCATATTTTAGGAAATAATATACCCGATTGTCCCGAAATTGAGAAAACACCATTAATAACCTTTTTTAGCACTAAAAAATAATTTTTTTATGAATTTTTAATAAATTTTTCTCGATGTACTAAATTTGTACTAAAAAGTACTAAATGTTATTTTGAGAAATTCAAGAACCAAATATACAGAAAATTAAAAAAAGGTTCCCATAAAAACCTTTTGTAGTACCCAAGAAAATATTTTTCATGGATTTTAGAAAAATTTTCTCGATGTACTAAATTTGTACTAAAGAGTATTAAAATTACTTTTGAAACATTTTTTGAAGGAAATAAGTCAATACCTGTACGTATAATTGTTTAAAAGTCCGTACAATCTAATTTTTATATGAAAATATCAATTTTTTTAAGGTACTAAAAGTGTACTAAATATTTGTTTTGTTCTAAATATGTCCACAAATTACAAAATTACTTTAGTAATCTGGTATTTCGTGGCCTTAATAAGACAATTTGTTGTTTTTAAGCACATTTTTTCAAAATTTATATTGTACTAAAAGTGTACTAAATTTTTTTCTTTGTACTAAAAACCAAAAATGTCAATTTAATTTATTTCGATGGATTTTGTGGCCTTAATATATGAATTTGTAGTTTTAACGTAAAATTTGTCATGTACTAAAAGTGTACTAAATTTTTTGTTCAAAAAATTGTGTACTAAAAATCTTCAAAAATGTTAAATCCATTATATTCATGATTTTTACCAGTATTAAAGTATCATTTTTTTATTCTTTTACTAAAATATACCATGTACTAAAAGTGTACTAAATTTTTATGTTGTACTAAAAATCTTCAAAATTGTTATATCCATTACATCCATAAGTTTTACAGTGTTAAAATATATTTTTTTTATATTTTTACTAAAATTTGCCGTGTACTAAATATGTACTAAAAGTGTACTAAATTTTTATTTAGTACTAAAAACCTCCAAAAATGTTAAATCCATGAGTTTTAGAGCATTCAAATAAAATTTGTTATTCTTTTACCAAAATTTACACATGTACTAAATATTTTAGTACACATTTAGTACTAAATTTTTAATAACTTTTTATTTCTATTTTTTCAAATCTTTCAGAGAATGGCTCCTAACGAAAATCGTCAATGGTGAACGTGCCTCATATTCCGCTCCGAAATTCGCCCGCATGCAAGAACGCACCCGCTCCCAAATGCTAGAGGATTTGGTAATGAATCTGTCGAATCATGCCGAGACGGGCCAGATACCGAAACCATATCGCCGCGGCTCATGGCGCCCAATTGGTGAGGAAGAATATAAGAAAATGTTGCATGCAAGAGTTTTAGCCACTACCACAAATGAGCCACAAATCACACCTCTCTCGTCATCGTTGGACGTTGAAGTGTGCTGTGTGCAACTGTCTGTTAAACATAGTATGTAGTATATGGGAGAGGAGAGAGAAACAAACAAAAAACCAAAATGAAGAGAGCAAGCGGGAGACAGAGTGTTAAACTGTCTCTCTTAATTTATAATGCCATCCCAATCACAGTAACCTTGTTTTAATTCTTCTTCTTCCTGTTCTTGTTCTCGTTTGTTGGTCATGTTTGTTTTTGTCTGTCTGATGACTGCGAAGGAAATTTGTTTTGCATTTTTGTTGCCTACTTTTAGGCTGTAAATATGTTATTACCCCTTTCTTTACTTCACTCCCCCATTTCACAGCCATTAAAATCACATTCTGATGGCTGCTGTTAACAGCCTCTTAACGTGGCCATAAACATGCACAAACGTGATTTCATTACATGAAAACATTTCCAAGATTTTTTAAGATGTAAATTTTTTCCCGAGCATGGTTTATTTTGCCCAAAAACATATGTTCCTTGAAATATTTCAGCATGAAAAAAATTTCCCCTCTCTCCCATAAAATACAGTGAAACCTGGGTAAAAAAAGTATATAAAAAATTAGCTGAATAGTTGATTTATGATAGAAAAACTTTGCTGAATTGGGATTTTTTGAACGAAATGCTTAGCTGAATGGCATATTTCAGGAGAAAAACTTTGCTGGCTTAAGGTTTTTGTAATAAAAGACCCCGCTGAATTACATTTTTCGCTAGAAAACTTAGCTGAATTATGGTTCTCAAGAGAAAAACTTTGCTGAATTGGGATTTTTGGAAGAAAAACTTAGCTGAATTAATGTTTGTGAAAGAAAAACTTAGCTGAATGGCATTTTTCGAAGAGATACCTTTGCTGAATTGTCGTTTTCGTTACAAAAACTTTGCTGAATTGTAGTTTTCGTTGGAAAAACTTTGTTGACTTGCATTTTTCAAGAGAAAAACAATGCTAGCTTAGGATTTTCGTGGCAAAAGACCTTGCAGAATTATATTTTTCATTGGAAAACTTAGCTGAATTATGGTTCTCTAAAGCATAACATTACTGAATTGGTGTTTTTGGAAGAAAAACTTAGCTGATTTGATGATTTTAAAAGAATAACTCAGCTGAATTGCATTTTTCGACAGAACACCTTTGCTGAATTGTTGTTTTATTGGAAAATCTTTGCTGAATTAACTTTTTTAAAAGAAAAACGTTGCTTGCCTAGTGTGTTCACGAGAAAAAAAACCTTGCTGAATTCTATGTTCCGTTGGAAAACTCAGCTGAATTGGGATTTTTGAAAGAAAAACTTAGCTGAATTTATGTTTCTGAAAGAATATCCTTGCTGAATTGCATAAAAATTGCAGTTTTCGTTTTGAAATCTTTGCTGAATTACATTTTTGTTAGAAAACTCTGGTTCTCGAGAGAAAAACTTTGCTGAGTTGGAATTTTTGAAAGAAAAACTTAGCTGAATTTATGTTTTTGGAAGAAAAACTTAGCTGAATTGATGTTTTTGAAAGTATAACTCTGCTAAATGGTATTTTTCGAGGAGAAACCTTTGCTGAATAGTGGTTTTCGTTCGAAGAACTTTGTTGAATGACACTTTTCATTGGAAATACTTTGCTGAATTAACTTTTTCGGTTCAAAAACTGAAATAAATTGAGTTTTACTTTAGAAAAATGTAGCTGACTTTAGTTTTTGAAACTAAAATCGCTGCTGAATAGTGGCATACCTTGAAAAAAACTTGCTGAATTGATGTTTTTTGAAAGAATAACTGTTCTGAATTGCATTTTGCCAACGAACAGCTTTGCTGAATTGTTATTTTCGTTGGAAAAACTTTGCTGAATTATTTCTTTCAACATAACAACTAAAATAAATTTGCTGGTTTCTTTAGAAAAATGTAGATGAATTATGTTTATCAATCTAAAATATTTGCTGAATGAATTCCTTGAGAAAACCTTGCTAAATTATGATTTTCGAGGGAATAATGTTGCTGAATTGCATTTTTCAACAGAATACCTTTGCTGACTTGATTTTTTCGTTGAAAAAAACTTTGCTGATTAGCGTTTTTCTTCGAAAAATTTTAGCTGATGGCTGAATTAAGTTTTTTCAATAAAAAATCTTACCTGAATAGAGTTTTCCCAAACAAAAACTTTGCTGAATTGCATTTTCTTCGAAAATTTTTAGCTGAATTGCGTTTTTTTTCGAAAAATTTTAGTTGAATTGCGGTTTTCATCGAAAAATCTTAGCTGAATTCCTTAGTTCGCTGATAAATCAAATCTAACTTGCGCTTTCCTTCGAAAAGCTTAGCTTAGTTTTTCAATATAAAAACTTAGCTGAATTGAGTTTTTTTAACAGAAAAACTTAGCTAAATAGAGGTTATCAATAGAAAATCTTAGCTGAATTGCGTTTTTCAGAACAAAAAAATTTGCTAAATCACGTTTTCCTTTGAAAAATCTTAGCTTAATTGCGTTTTTCTTCTATAAATCTTACCTGAATTGCCTTTTTCATCTAAAAATCTTAGCTGAATTGCGTTTTTCTTCAAATCATCTTAGCTGAATTGCTTTTTTCTTCAAATCATCTTAGCTGAATTGCGCTTTTCTTCAAGAAATCTTAGCTGAATTGCGCTTTTCTTTAAAAAATCTTAGCTGAATTGTCATTTTCTTCGAACAATTTTAGCTGAATTCCGATTTTCTTCGAAAAATCTTAGCTTCATTGCGTTTTTTCTTCAAAAAATCTTAGCTGAATTGTTTTTTTCTTCGAAGCATCACAGCTGAATTGCGTTTTTATTCAAAATTTTTTAGCTGAATTGCGTGTTTCTTTGAAAAGTCTTAGCTGAATTGCGTTTTTCTTCGAAAAGTCTCAGCTGAATTGCGTTTTTCATAGAAAAATCTTAGCTGAATTAGCTTTTTCTTCAAAAAATCTTAGCTGAATTACATTAATCCAATAGAAACCACCACTTTTTTTATTCAGTGTCCATTTTTTAAAGGTTTCACTGTAACCCCCAATCCAATTTTGAATTTCCGCCTCCCAAAAAATAAATCAAATCTCATGTCAATGGGTGATTAATAGCTTCTAATGTGGCAACACCATTACCATAAAGGGGTGAACGAAATAAAAATCACAAAAAGCTTTCATTCACACTCTCTCCTCCACCCCCCTCCCCCATCAACCATCTTTGCATACATGTGTGGCTTTGTGTTGATGTTTGTGTGTATGAGTGTGTCTCTGCCTTTGTATTTTGAACTGCATGTCCTTTCATGTTTCGACGCCTTCTTAATGTTCTGCCGTTAATCTTCGTGCATAACAAATGATAGCCATCCTGAGCTTTGTTCCTTGGCCACCATATATCAGCAAAAAAGAAAAGAAAGACTCATTGCCAAATATGCGGAATTTTTTATCAATGTCAATTTTAAGAATGGACCGAATGACCCCTCTTTCCTCCCCCTTTCCGTTGCTTATTTATTTGAATGTGTTGTTTCCGTTTCCCCCTTTCCTTTTTCTTATCGGTGATGAATTTGTTAAGGATGGGGAGGGGGTCTAGATGTTGTTACATCTTCCGGTTGACAGCTGTAAAGACAACAACAAATCTATCGATTTTTTGGCAAAGGAGTCCTGAAAGAGGACTTTCGTTATATCCTTTTTCTTCCTCTTCTTTATGATTAAATTAAAAGCATCCATTTTTTCGATATTTATTTTTAAAGGATATTTTGATGAAGCTGAAATGATGCTAAAAGGATTCCAAACATCAATAATAGCTTTTAAAAAATGAGTGCATAATAAAAATGTGCTGAATTGAAGTTTTTATAAAGAAAAGTTAAGCTGAATTGTGATTTTCGTTTAGAAAATTTTGCTGAATTTAAATTTTCTAGCTGAAAACTTAGCTGAATTGAGGTTTTCCTTAAGAAAACTCCGCTGAATTGCATTTTTTGTTATAAAACTTAGCTGAATTGAGGTTTTCATTAAGAAAATTTTGCTGAATTGCAGTTTTTGTTAGAAAAACTTAGCTGAATTGAGGTTTTCGTTAAGAAAATGTGAAAACATTGCTGAATTGCAGTTTTTGTTACGAAAACTTGGCTGAATTGAGGTTTTCGCTATGAAAATGTGGCTGAATTGCAGTTGTTGTTGTTGAAACTTAGCTGAATTGAGTCTTTCGCTAAGAAAACAATTGCAGTTTTTGTAATTAAAGCTTAGCTGAATTGAGGATTTTGTTAAGAAAACATTGCTGAATTGCAGTTTTTGTTAGAAAAACTTTGCTGAGTTGAGGTTTTCATTAAGAAAATTTTGCTGAATTGCAGTTTTTATTAGGAAAACTTATCTGAATTGAGGTTTTCGTTATGAAAATGTGGCTGAATTGCAGTTGTTGTTATTAGCTGAATTGAGTCTTTCGCTAAGGAAACATTGCGGAATTGCAGTTTTTGTTAGAAAAACTTTGCTGAATTGAGGTTTTCATTAAGAAAATTTTGCTGAATTGGAGTTTTTGTTAGGAAAACTTAGCTGAATTGAGGTTTTCGTTATGAAAATGTGGCTGAATTGCAGTTATTGTTATTGAAACTTAGCTGAATTGAGTCTTTCGCTAAGAAAACACTGCTGAATTGCTGTTTTTGTAATTAAAGCTTAGCTGAATTGAGGATTTTGTTAAGAAAACATTGCTGAATTGAGTATTTCGCTAAGAAAACATTGCTGAATTGCAGTTTTGTTAGGAAAACTTAGCAGAAAATCGTCGCTGAATTGTGGGTTTTAAGAGAAATTCTTCTTGATTTAAGTTTCCACACGAAAAAATCCTTGCTGAATATACATTCCATCGATAAAAATGTAGCTGAATTGGCATTTTCGCTGGAAAAATATTGCTGAATTGTGTTTTTCAATAGAAAATCTTTGCTGAATTAAGTTTCCATATGATAAAAACCTAGCTGGATTGATATTACATACATAAAAAGTTTATCAAAATGTAGCTGAATTGGCATTTCGCTGGAAAATTATTGCTTAATTGTGTTTTTCAATAGAAAAACCATGCTGAATTAAGTTTCCATATGATAAAAACATAGCTGAATTGATATAACATACATAAAAACGTTGCTAAATTGTAATTTTTACGTTATGAATGTGATTTTATGCCATCACATTATGTTTTGCGCTGAAAAAACCTTTGCTGAATTACATTTTGCTATGATAAAACTTAGCTGAATACGAATTTTTTGATGAAACATCACTCAAATGATATTTGAAGACGTTAAAATGAATTTTTTCTATAACAAAATTTATTTTACAATAATAAAATCATTGCTGAATTAAACAAATATTAGCTGAATTGTGTTTATTACGCAAAAAACTTAGCTGAATTGCAATTTTTTGTAATAAATTTGCATTTTAAACCATCCCATAATGTTTGCTGATGAAAAAATCCTTGCTAAATTACATTTTTCACAATAAAACTTAGCTGAATTCCAATTTGTATAATAAAACCTCACTCAAATGAAGTTTTATGTCGTAAACTTACATTTTTCAATAAAAAAAATTATTTTCATATGTAAAAATTTTGCTGAATTGAATTTTTCTCTTACAAAAATTAGCTGAATTGAATTTTTCTCTTACAAAAAATTAGCTGAATTAGAATTTTTATATAAAAAAATAACATTTTTTACCTCCATATGTTGTTTTGCCTATTAAATATTTATTGCTGAATTACATTTTCCCCCATAAAATTTAGCTGAATATGAAAATTTTAAAGATTTAATTTTTTTTTTTTATTTTTTAATTATAAAAATTTACACTACATACCTCCACCTCCCTCCCATGTATATACATACATACTTTAAAAAATATATGTATATATTGAAATTTTATCTGTATGTGTGTAAGATTGCATGAATGATCCTGCAAAAAAAAATACGAAAAGAAAATTATCTCAATTTTTTTTTTCAAAAAAAAAAAATAATTTTTTTAAATTTTTATTTCCTCTCCCACCCCAAAAACTCTAGGCCACATGAGACCCTCATCGCCATTGTTGGACTCGGTACGCGATCAATTCGAAGATTACGATCAGTTGGCGAAAGATTTTACTCGTGTATTTTTAAATTCTGAACCATCGTGCCTACAAAATGCTCACCTGTTCGATGTCACCTTTCTGGTTGGCCAATCGAAGCAGAAAGCCCGATTTATTGGTGTGCGAGCGATATTGGGTGTACGAAGTCGGGTGTTTCAGGTAAGTGATTGAATATTTTGAAAAAAATTTGAAATTTTATGAAAAAAAAATGTTGAATTTTTTTGAAAAAAAAAGAAATTTTTTTAAAAAATTTTGAAAATTTTTCAAAATAAATAAAAAACAAACATTTTTTGGAAAAAAAATTTAAATTGTTTGAAAAAAAAATAATTTTTGGAAAAAAATTTTGAAATTTAAAAAAAAATTGACGTTTTTTGAAAAAAAAATTTTGAAATTCTTTGAAAAAAAATTTTTAAAAAAAAAAATTTTTCTTTGAAAAATTTTTAAATAAAAAAACAAACATTTTTTGGAAAAAAATTTTGACATTGTTTGAAAAAAAAATTTTTTGAAAATTTAGAAAAAATTTTTTCAAAAAAAAAAAAAAATTCAAAATAAATTAAAAAAATTCAAAATTTTTTTTTTAATTTTTTTTTTATATTTTGAAAAAAAAATTTTATTCTTTGAAAAATTTTCAAAATAAATAAAAAAACAAACATTTTTTGGAAAAAAATTTTGACATTGTTTGAAAATAAAATTTTGAAAATTTAGAAATTTGAAATTTTTTCAAAAAAAAAAAAATTTCAAAATAAATTAAAAAAATTCAAATAATATTTTTTTAAATTTTTTTTTATTAAAAAATATATTTTCTTTTCCAGGAAATGCTCTATGGCATCCAAACCGGTTTCGGCTCACCCCAAATACCAGTTGCTGAAATATTTGCGCGTCCAGCGCCATCATTGGTTTCACCACAAAATCAAAAACCGAAAAGTAATAATTATCTCACGGTACCCGATTCCGATTCGATACGACCGAAAAGTGTACCCTCATCACCCATGGTGAAGAGGGCTTTCTCACGGCTGGGTACCATCACTGCCGGTTGGGGTCGTTCGATACGCAACAAAAATACGAATCAATTGAATCCGGAGGATAAAAAGAAATGGATCTCGTCGACAGATTGTTCGAGTAAGAGTTTGAATTTCTTGAATTACAAATATATCGATGTGTGTTTTTTTCTTGTTTTTTTCTTTGTCTCCTCTAAATATTTTTTTTCGGTGTCGGTGTGTGTGTATTTTTTTCCAAAATGTACTAAAAACCAATTAAACCAACCCACCAATACAACTACTACCACCACCACTGCCAACTAACTTGCCACAATGGGATGCGTGTGTGTGTTGTGTTTTTGCATCGAATTTGAAAAAAAAAAATCTCCTGTAAAATTTTTGAAAAAAATCTGAAAAAAAAATCTCCTGTAAAAAATTTTGAAAAAAAATTCTCGTGTGTAAAATATCCTTGTAAACGATTGTGTAACTCCACCACTAATACTGCTACGTTTTGTTTGGACAATTGTGTTGCTACCTCATTTTTTTCTCTGTCTCTCTCTCTCTCTCTTTGGCTTGATTTGTAATTTAAAATTCCTTGCAAACATTTGAATTGGCTTGATATTTGTTTTTCAAAAATTTTTTGACATGTTTTCTTTAATTGGCTTTTTACAAAAAAAAATTAATTAAAATTTACTTTTTTAACACCACATAAAAAAATATTTTAAATTTTTTCATTATATTTTACATCATATTTTTCACATTTTTTAAATTCCAAAAAAAATTTCAAAACCTTTTTTTACAAAAAAAAAATTATTTTTTTCCAATTAATTTTTTTTCAAATTTAAAAAAAAAATTATTTTAAAATGTTTACATAATATTGTTTTTATTTTAATTATATGAAAAAAATTATTTTTTGACAAACAAAAATAATTTTTAATTTTTTTTAATTAATTAAATAATATATGATTTTGAAAATTATTTATTTATATTTATATATTTTATGATATATATATATATATTTTGTAATATATTATTTTTTTTTAAATTTAAAAAAAAATTTTTTTTATTTTAAAATGTTTACATAATATTGTTTTTATTTTAATTATATGAAAAAAAAAAATTATTTTTTGACAAAAAAAATTATTATTTAATTTTTTTTTTTAATTAAATAAACAATATATGATTTTGAAAATTATTTATTTATATTTATATATTTTATTTATTATATATATTTTGTAATATATTAATTTTTTATTATTAATTAATGTACTTAATAAAACTTATAATATAAAATTTTTTTTTTTAAAATAAAAATATATATATATAAATATATATTTTTTAACATAAAAATATTTATTAAATAAAAATTACATATTTTTTTCCAAAACATTTTTTTAATTATAAAAAATTTTTTTTTATTATTAAAAATTAATTATTATTTTTTTTTAATTTATTAAAAAAAAATATATAATTTTTTTTATTTAAATAAATTTTAATAATTTTGAATTGAATTTTTTTATTATTAATGTATACATTAAAAAAATAATGTATTTATTAAAAAATATATAAAAAAATTAAAAAAAAAAAAAAAATATTTTTTCAAATTAAAATAATAATAATTTATTTTTTTAAATAACACGAAAATGTTTATTAAATAAAAATTACATGATTTTTTCCAAATTAAAAAAATAAATTTTTTTATTATTAAAAATTGATTATTAATATTTTTTATATTAAAAATTAAAAATATATAATTTATTATTTTAATTAAATTATTTTTTTTAATTTATTGGTTATTTTTTATATTTGATTTTCATTAAAAAATAAATTTTTTGTTAAAAAAAATATATATATATTTAAAAAATTAATATTTAATACATATTTACATATTATTTACATATTATTTTTTTATATTTTAAAAAAATATAATTTTTTCATATAATTTGTTATTTTAATTAAATTATTTTTTTAACATATTGGTTATTTTTTTATATTTGATTTTCATTAAAAAATAAATGTTTTGTTAAAAAAATATATATTTTTTAATAAATATTTAATACATATTTACAAATAATTTTGTGAATATTATTTTTTTTTTAATATATTTATATTATTATTAATTTTTGTATTGGAATTTAATATATTTTTTATTAAATATTTGTTTATAAAAATATTAAAAAATCTATAAAAAAATATTTAAAAAAAATATTTTTTCAAATAAAAAAAATAATTTAATTTTAAAAATAATATTAAAATGTTTATTAAATAAAATTACATAATTTTAAAATTAAAAAAAAATAATTTTTTTATTATTAAAAATTGATTATTAATTTTTTTATATTAATTAAAAAATATAAATTTTTTTCATATAATTTATTATTTTAATTAAATTAAATTAATTTTTTTTTTTTTTGAATTTATTGGTTATTTTTTTATATTTTATTTTCATTAAAAAATAAATTTTTTGTATATATATATATATATATAATTTATTTTAAATTAATATAAAATACATATTTACAATTTTCTATAATTTTGTTATTAAATATTTGTTTATTTTTCTTTTTATAAATATTCATGTTTTATTTATCATTTAATTTTTTGTTTATATATATTTTTTTAAATAATAAAATTAAATAATTTGTTTTTACATTTTTATTTTTATCCATTTTATTAAATAATTTTAATTTTATTTTTGTTTCTTTTATTATTTTATTTATATTTTATCAAATCTTATTTTTTCCTTATTTATTTGTTTTCCTTTTTAATTTTATTTTTTTTTATTTTAATTTATATTTTTATTTGAAAAATAATTTTCTTTGTTATATATATTTAATTTTCTTTTATTAAATTTTATTTTATATTTTAATTTAATTTATTTTAATTTTTTGATTTAATTTAATTTCATTTAATTTAATTTATTTAATTGAATTTATTTTAATTTAATTTTATTTCATTTAATTTAATTTATTTAATTTTATTTTTTCTAACTTAAATTAATTTTATGTAATGTATATTAATTTCATGGCATTTAATTTAATTTAAATTAATTTTTTATTCAATTTAATTTATTTTAATTTAAATTAATTTTTTATTTAATTTAATTTTTATTAATCTTATTTTATTTCATTTTATTTAAATTTTTATTTTAATTTTATTTACTTCATTTTATTTTAATTTAATTTTTTTTTAATTAATTTAATTTTAAATTATTTTTTTTAAATTTTATTTAAATTTTTATTTTAATTTTATTTACTTTATTTTATTTTAATTTAATTTTTTTAATTAATTTAATTTTAAAATTAAATAAATTCATTAATTTTCAACAAAATTCACATTTAATTCATCAAAAATGCCTTTAATTTAAACTTTGTCCATTCATGCTCACTCGTACAATTGTTCTTTACATTCACTGCATATTACTCTTATTATCACTCTCCTATCTCCTCTCTCTCTTTCCCACCTACTGCACTCACAACAAACTGATAACACCATCACCAACATTTCATTCCGTTATCTTGCTCCCATCATGTTTAAATGGCTGCCATAACACATGCTCGTGTAATCATGCATCTCATTATCATCTCTCTCGTTCTCTTCTCACCTGTCTTTGTCTGTAATTCAATGTCATTATTAAATCTCTCACTCTTCCCATTAAGTTGTATTAATTTTTATGCCGCCAAAAATATCTTTGCAAATTTTCTGTGTAATCACCAACAAAACAAATTTTCTCAAATCACCCCCTCCACCTTTTTAACGTTACCTTTCATTGTGTGTGTAAAAATTGGATTTTTTATAAAAAAAAACAACAACAAAAATCAAACATTAATGATCAACTGTTTTTCATTTTCACATCCCCACATTCATACTTTACAATTATTACTTTATTTGCTTCTCTTCCTTTTCTTTGGTTGCCTTTCTTCTTTGCTTTTTTTCGTTTCTTTTCCTTTCCATTTTTTTGTTGTTTCAAATATTTTGCTTACCACAACAACAACAACAACAACCCCCACCTATAGACAGGGATAGCAAAGAAAAAGACAAGGACAAATCGGGTAACAATTTGGCTGTGCCTCGTCTATCGGTGTGTGCCGATGCCCAAAAGGTGGACCGGGCGAAACTGGCGCAAACCGAATTTACCATCATTGAATTCGATCCGGAAACATTTAGGGTGCTGTTGGACTATCTACACACGGGCACCTGCCCCCTGACATGTGTCTCCATACCAGGTAAGGGCAACAAAAACAACAACATTTTCAATTCTCACCCAAAATTGAAATTCCGTCATTCCTTTTAGGTCTCCTCTGTGCTGCCGAACACTACGACCTACCCGAACTGCTGCAGGCCTGCTTCCATCACTGCAAACAATTCCTGCGCATCGAAGTCGTCTGTCCCATGCTGATATCCTTGGAGAACTACTATTGGCGTTACACGTCCGCTTCCGAATTGGTCAACATGATTCTGTCCTTTGTCGAGAACAAAGCTCATGCCCTCTTCAAGTGCCCCGAATTCCTTAACCTCTCCGAGTCCATGGTCCAAATGATAATGTGCCGTGAATTGCAATGTCCCGAAATTCGTAAATTCGAGGCAATGTTGGCCTGGGCCAAACACAAAGTGTCGAAAATGAAAGTCCATCCGAACAAGGATAGCCAATTCGAATTCGAATGCATTATGGAAAGGCTCACGCGCGATCTCAACCTCTGTCGCATTTCACCCAGTGAACTGTTGTCGATTGTCCTGCCCTCGAAGGCACTGAAAAACGAACGAATCATGGAAACGCTAATGATGCAGGTCAATTTGGGCACGTACCGCATGCAGGAACTGGATGAGTATCGCCAACAGTTGCGCAGCCAAGAATCGGCCGAGGCCGAAGTCCATCATCGGGGTGGATGAGATAGTAAGAATGTTAGTTTCGATATTGATCGTGGCGGTGGCAGTGGGGCCAGTGGTGGAGATGTTTCAAACGCTTATGATTCCACCGCCGATGATGAGGTGGAATTTTATACCGATTTTGATGCAAATCCCACTACAAGCCGAGTGGCGGCGCAAATGCAGGCGGCCAAGGAGGCGAGACGAAGGCGGTGGGCGGGTGATGGCGCGTCGGCGGGTAGTACGGATTGTGGGAAGAGATTTTAAGGTGACTGAGATCGATAATAGCTTTCAGAGGTCTGTGAGACCCTCCAGACCTTGCAGAGGTATGTAAGGCCTTCCAGAGAGTTCTCTAATGCTTCCAGAGGTCCCAGAAGACCATAGAAAAACATTTCAAAGGGTTTTAAGACCTTCCAGAGTCCTTCAATGCCTTTCAGAGGTCTGTAAGACCTTTCAGAGGTCTTTAGAACCTTCCAGAGGTCTTTAAGGGTCTCTTGGGCTTTCCTGAGATCTGTAAGGCATTAAGGGTCTTTTGGGCATTCCAGAGATCTGTAAGGCCTTCCAGATGTGTTTAAGATCTTTCAGAAGTCTTAAACATCTCCCGGAGGCTTCTAGTGCCTTTCAGAGGTCTGTATGATCTTTCATAGATCTGTAAAACCTTTGAGATGTCTTTAGGACTTTCCAGAGGTTTGTATACCTTTTCAGAGTTCTCTCTTCGGATATTCCAAATGTTTTTAAGATCTCCCAAAGGCCTCTCATGTCTTTCAGTGGTCTGTAAGACCTTCCAGACGTCTTTACGACCTTCCAGAGGACGATAATACACTCCAGAGGTCTGTAATGTCTTTCAGAGTTCTTTAGGACCTTCCAGAGGTCTGTAATACCTCTTCGGATATTCCAAAGGCCTACCAGAAGCCTATAAATTTTCCAGAGGTCTCTAATGCCCTTCAGAGGTCTATAAGGCCTTCCAGAGGTCACAAAAGGCTTCTCCAAATGTAACGGAAGACCTCTTCTATCCACAGATGATCCCTACTATCTACAGAAGGCTTCTTATGACTTCAGAAGACCTCTATAATAACTTCGATAGGTCTGTACGAATTTTCAAAGATCTTTAAGACCTTCCAGAGGCCTGTTAAACCTTCTAGAAGTCTTTACTGAAGGTTTCTCAAGACATCACAGAAGACCTTTTCTATCCGGAGAACATCCGTTCTAACTTCGGAAGGTCACTTCAGACGGTAGAGGACTTCCATAATATCTTCTAGAGGTCTTCAATACCTTCTAGAGGTCACTGAAGGTTTCTCAAGATATCAAAGAAGACCTTTTCTATCCGCAGAATAGCCATTCTACCTTCGAAATGCCTCAGAAAACCCACATAATACCTTCTAAAGATCTTCAAACCCTTCCAGAGGTCTTCCGGAGGTCACAGATATCACAGAAGACCTCTTCTATCCGCAGAACAGCCCTTCTACCTTCAGTAGGCATATTCCAGGCCACAGAAGACCCCGATATTACGCTCTAAAGGTCTTCAATAACTTCCAAAAGTATTTTTGAGGTCACAGAATGCTTCTCTGAATGTCACAGCAGACCCCTTCTATCCGCCGAACATCCCTCTACCTTCCGAACGCCTCATCTTTTATTATAACACTTTCTAGAGATCTTTTGTGGTCTTAGAAGGTCTCTGGAGGCTACCAAAGATCTTTATGTCCTTAGAAGGACTCTGCAGGCCCCCGAAGAACTTTTGTGGCCTTAGACGGTCTCAGAAGGCTTAATTTCTAGGTAATAGAAGGCCCTCTCGGTATACAGAAGTCCCCTTCGGGTCACAGAGGGCCTTTTCTGGTCTCAGAAGACCCCTTCAGATCAAAGAAGACCACTTGTGACCCCTTGTTGTCTGCTAAAGTGGCCTGTCGTGACCATAGGAGGCATCTTCAGGTCACATAAGCCCCTTTCTAATCCTCTTCTTGAGACAGAAGACCTCTTATAGTCTACCTCTTCGGTTATCTAAGGAGCGTAGACATTTTGTAGAACCCTCTCTCACTTTTTTCATAAATTTCAAAGAGAGAAAAAATGTCACTTCTCTCTCCTTTATTCCTTCTCTTATCTCTCCGTTCTCTCTCAAAACGTTCTCTTATTTCCCAAATAAAAACCAAACCACGTACCACCGCAAATGAAAGAACAAAAAAAACTACAACAACAACAAAAATAATAACAGCCACTGTCAATATTGTTACTAACAATTTTTTAACTGTCACATCCACCCCACCTATCTTTAAAAAAAAAAGAAGAAGAAAAAAACAACAACAACCAAAAACATGGATTTTTTCAACCACAAATCATATTTTTGAGGTTAGGTTAACCTCTCTAACCTAACCTAACAAATGAATGACTCAAAATCACTAGGTTTTTATTAATGTGTCAAAGAATTCTGGAAAAATTGAATCCCTTTGTACAGAATTCCAAATCTATTCGAATGGAAACCTAAAAATGTTACGCTTACTGGAAATATAAAAAGACTAAAAAAACTAAAATTAAAAAAAAAACAACAACAAACAGCAACAAAAAATTAAAAAAAAATTGTATGTAGAAAAATATATAATTGTACAGTTGTCGGTAGGGCTTGGGAATTTTTTTTTATATATAGTCCAATAATTTTTTTGACAAATTTTAATTTTATTCCAAAAAAAAAAATGGGAGAAATTTACAAAAATTTTTATTTTCTCTTTTTAAATAGCCAATTTTATTGTTATTTATTACAGTTACAATTTCTTTTGCAGGGTGCCTCATAGTAAAATTTTATGGAGAACATTTTCTCTCTTGGTTGCATCCTTCTAAAGTGCCGTATTATTGGTGAAATTGCCACAAATTCAAAATAACCCCAAAAAGGCCCAAAACCCCATTATTTAATATAATCAATTTTGTAACCAAAACTTTATCAGTAAATATACAGCTACATTTTTCTTTGGCAGGGTGACTCATAGTGAAATTTCATGTAGAATATTTCCTCCATTGGTACAACTTTCCTAAGATGCCGTATTATTGGCGAAATTCCCAAAAAATCGAATTAACCTCAAAAAAGCCCCAAACCCCCATTTTTTATATGGTCAACAATTGTAACCAAAATTTTATCAGTAAATATTATAGTTACTGCTTTCTTTTGCAGGGTGACTCTTAGTGAAATCTTATGGAGAATATTTCCTTCATTGATACTAATTTCCTAATATGCCGCATTATTGGTGAAATTCCCAAAAATTCTAAATAACCTAAAAATTTGCCCAAAATTCCCATTACTTTTTATTGTCTATTTTGTAACGCAAATATTATAAGTAAAAATTATACATACCGGGATATATTACAGGGTGACTCATAGTGCAATTTTCTCAAGAGTATTTTACTCATTAACTGCTCTCTGCTAAAATGAATTTTTGTGGGAAAAATTGGACCATTTTGTAAAATATACCAAAATTGAGGGAGGAAATACAGCATGTCTTATAACCTCGAATTTAGCGATTTTAATGGACACATTGTATAACTACGGATTTCTTTTGCAGGGTGACTCATAGTGAAATTTTCTGAAGATTATTTTCTTCATTGGTTGCAACCTGCTAACTTGCAGTATTCTGGGTGAAATGGCCACAAATCCGAACAAACTCACAAAAATTACCAAAAAATATCCATTGTTATATACACCGATTTCCGACCCCAATATTATCCAAATCTATTATAGCTACAAATTTCTTTTGCAGGGTAACTTATTGTGAAATTGTACGTAGATTATTTCCTTCTTTGGTAATTTGCTTCTTAAATATATTTTTGTTGTCGAAATTGCCACATATTTGAAATAACCTAAAAGATGGTCCAAAATACCCATAATTTTATATAGTCAACTTTGTAACCCAAATATTATCAGTGTATATTATAGCTACCGATTTAATTTGCAGGGTGACTCTTAGTGAAATTTTCTGAAATTATTTTTTCCATTGGTGGCAACCTCCTAATTTCCAGTATTCTGGGTGAAATTGCCCAAAATTCGAAAAAAAAACACCCAAAATACCGATTATTTTATTAACACCATTTTCCGACCCCAATATTATCCGAATCTATTATAGCTACAAATTTCTTTTGCAGGGTGACTTATAGTGAAAATTTGTGTAGAAAATGCAGTATTGTATGCGAAATTGCCACATACACAAAATAACTTAAAAATGGCCCAAAATACCCATTATTCCATATAGTCAACTTTGTAACCCAAATATTATCAGTGTATATTATAGCTACCGATTTCTTTTGCAGGGTGACTCACAGTGAAATTTTATATAGATTATTTACTCCATTCACATTTGTAACCTAAAGTGACGTTTTGTGGAAAACAATTTGGGTCAATTCAATGTTACCTCAAAATAATGGCCAACATTTTGACACTTTCCATATACCCACTTTAGTAGCGGCTTTTTATTAATGAATATTATCGCTATGGATTTCTTCTCTTCCACGACCCATAGTGAAATTTTGTGGAGAATATTTCCTTCATTGGCATCAAGAACCTAAGATTCGGCACAGTGGGCGAAATTTGCTTCATTTCAAAAATATATCAAAAAGTTGACCAAAACCGGCATATTTTCTTAATACCCTATTTGAAACCGATTTTTAATTAATATACAGGGTAGCTAGGGATTTCTTTTGTTCTATGACCTATAATAGAATTTTATGGAGAATATTTTCTCCATTCATACCCACCCTGTTAATTAATTATTTGGGGTGAAAAATTGGATCAATTTCAATAAAGTCACAACAAATAGAACCAAACCAACATATTTTCTACAAAACAATTTTTAAGGCGATTTTTTATTAATAAATGTTATCGCTTCAAATTTCTACTTTTCGGTGACCCATAGTGAAATTTTATGGAGAATATTTTCTTCATTGATATCTACACCGAAAAATAAAGTTTTCAGAAAATATTGGCAAATCTCTAAAAAGTAACACAAAATATACCAAAGGCATGCTTATCTTCTATATACCCTATTGAAACCCGATTTTTTATTAAAAAATCTTGTCGTTACGGATTTCTTTTCTTCGGTGACCCATAGTAGAATTTTATGGAGAATATGTTTTCTATTGACATCATACGCCTACATTACCATTTTGTGGCAAAAATTAGCTTAATTCCAAAGTAACCTCAAAAATAACCCCAAAAATATATATTTTCCATATGCTCACTTCAGACCCGTTTTTTATAGTGAAATTTTGTGAAGAACATTTTTTCCATTG